CCCGCGGCCGCACCCCGGGTTCAGGCCCATCCTCTCGCGACAAATCCAGGCTCAGGGTTCAAGGGCGGAGGTGAGTGCACGGCCGGCCCTGGCCCCTCTTCCTCCACTTTGTAGTCTTTTCCGAAAATAATCTTGGGGTATTGGGGAGTTTCCTGGTGTCTTATGTTTGTGCCCTGTGCAAACGGGGGTCCTGGCCGCGGCTTTCAGACTCAGGCTTGGTGGCAGTCTTTCACGGAGCAGGGGTGGTTGAAGGCCCTGTGCCCCTTGGGAAGCCTGAGGGGGTTGTTTCTCCAGCAGAGCTTGAGCGCCGGGCTTCTTCCTGCGTTTACCTGTGGTGGCCGGTGTCCAGGAGCGCGCTGGAACTCTGCGTCAGGGGGGCGGAGGCAGGGCAGAGGGGGAGGTCTTGGGCCTTGGCTGCTCTGTGTTCAGAATTTACCATGGAGGGCAAGGTGCATTCAGTCCATGGGTTACTTACCACTCTTTCCCGTTGCAGAAAATAGCCCTGCTTTGGGGTTAAAGAGGTTGGCACTGATCCTGCCATGGCTCTGTTTATGGCTTCTAGCCTCCTGCTGGCTTGGCCTTCTGCAGTGGAAACATGGGGCCCCCTGAGTTGCTACTCACAACTCTTTCCCAGCTGCTGCCCAATTACCAGCACAGAAGCAGGGCATCCTATGCTCCCCTCCAGCATCTTTACCACACTGCAGTGTAACTGGTGCGTTTGCTGAGTGCTGGGACTGTACTTCTGCCAATTCTATCACTAGGCTCTAGTACACAGGAGGAGGTAAATAAATGGGCCCACTGCCTCCCCCGTTCCCACACTGCTAGAAGTGCCATATTATATTTTGGGAGCATCCCAGCTGGAATATTTGCTAGTGGGAATTTACACAAGTCAGAGTGACCAAAGCTAGTTTCGAATACTTACGGCTATTGGGCCTGACCCTGGGGATGGGGAAACAGCGCCTTCCAGGTTTCTTCATTGACAATGAACAGGGGCCAGAGGCGGACGGATTTCTTATCCAGTTGAAGTTCCTGGGCTGTAGGTAGCACCGGGAATGATGCAGGAGTGCAGGGTTCATGCTTGGCAGTGGCCCTATGATCCTGGGGATCAACTCGTGGGGTCCAACTGGATGCAGGAAATGAGGAGGGCCCTGCTCTCTGTAGGCTCCTCTCAAGAGGACCAGTGGGAACAGACTCATAGACAGCAGTGGCTGAGTGCACAGCCCGTCCTGGTGAGATCTAGGCTAGAGGAGAAAGGCAGCCTCTTACACCACATTTCTGGTGAGGCGAGATCTCCAACCAGTTACTCCTTTGGGGCTCAACAAAAGCAGGCCCCAGCAGGTTTGCTAGTAGCCCAGGGAACAGTGAATGCAGCACCTGTTTTGTTGGCCCAAGATTTTACTTATCTCCTGTTACAGCCACAGCACTGGCAGTGTGAGGAGAGATTACACAGAAGCCACTGAGGATGGTGGGTCAGTCACGGGTTTGGGGCTATTGCCAGATAGGAATGTAGAGAACCTGTCTTGTGTGAAAAGGTTGAGAGCTGCACCTGGCTGGGTATCGTTACTAAAAAGAAACCAACAGACCCTTTCCTAAGGCCCAGATACACTGCTTTCCCAGGCTTCACCGCCAGATACCATCACATTAGCCTCCTGGGCCATCGCCACCACCATCTGCCAGCACAGCCCTTGTCCCCTGTTCTGCAGAGATGCTGTGTAGGGACCCTCACCCGATACTCAAGCCTTTTCTGGCCCTGGTGGCTGGACTGCACCATGCTGGTGATCTGCTCCACAATACCCAGGCTCCGGATGATATTTTCCCTCCGAAGCAGGGCCTTCAGCCGCGCCAGTTCCTCTTCTTCCACAATTTCTTGAGGCTGCATGGTGTCCAGGTATTCTGGTAGCAGCTACAAGGTACATGAGAGATGCATGTAAGATCTCTAGTGACCCGTCCCAAACCATCCACGAGTCAACTGCGGGACTCCTGCCCACTCTGCCACTACATCCCTTCCCAGACCCTAGCGCCAGGTTCCCTTTGCTGTGCATCCTCTCACATCCTGTTCCAGAGAGTCGGATCCCAAGTACTCATTAGGAACTCATCTCTCTCTCAGGCAAGGAGGGGAGGACAGTAGAGATTCCCTTTTCTATTAGTTCCAACCCGTTTTCTTGCAGAGAGGCAAGAGCCACAACGCCCCTGACACCTCTTTCTCCCGGGTCCAGCTCCTGTATGCCAGGTGGGTGGAAAGGGCCTGGATCCGGGCCCTGGACCGGCTCTTCTCCCCCGCTGACTCCCCCTGGTTCTGCTCCTTGTTTTCCTTTTTCCTCTTAGTGTCTAAGATCTGCCGCTGCTCCTGCTTGAGGCGGATCTCTTCCCGCTGCTGCCTGGCAAGACACAGCAGCTTCAGACACTGGAGAGATTGTGTTGGGCAGAGGGGGGAGGAAGAGGGCAGGGAATGTGGGGGAGGGAAAAAAGTAGGAAAATTACCATCTGTATGGGGGACTGATGGGAGAAGAAAGAGGGGCAAGATGGGAAACCTACTACACTGAGTCATTAATTCGTAGAATTTATAACGCCATCTCCACCCTGCTGGGGAGCAGTTCAGCTTCAGGGTTTGCCCCTTCCTGAGTAGAGGAGCACACAGGGCAAAGTACCTGGCGCACTCCTCTCTGGCCTTGGAAGCCGCGGTCTCTTGGAAGAGGGAGCTGCTGTGCTTAAAGAAGGGGGCGTACTTCTCCATGTCGGGCCCGGGGTAGATCCTCCGGTACCCCCCGAGGTGGGAATTCTCATAGCACTCCTGGTCCAGCAGAGCTGCCTGAGACAGCTCAGTTTGTTCTCGCCTGTGAAAAACAAGCTCAGGGTGAGCCCAGGGAGGTCCGTGAGAGGGCCTAGTCGGGAAAGGAAGTCTGAGAACCTGCTCTTTGTTCCTTCCTTCCTTTGTTTTAGATGAAGTTGGGATCATACAACAGCATTTTTAAATGGCTGCCGAGTATTCTAGTGCATGATGGTACCTCTGGTTATTAAGTCCAGTCATTTTCGACCTTTTATCCCCATTGGAAGACACAATTCATAGTCATGTGCACAGTCCAATCTCACATGAACATCCAGGGCGCGTAGTTACCCTTCACCTCCACTCACACAAACATTTGAAGGCCTACTGTGTGCCAGGCCCTCAGGATATTATGGCAAATCAAATACATTCTGGCCCTGCATCTTGCAATGCAAGTGGGAAAGAGTGATATTATTATAAGAATAACCCTAAATCTACTCCAATTCACTTTTTATTGTCTTTTTTTAAGAGAGAGAGAGAAACATGGATTTGTTGCTCCACTTATTGATGCATCATTGGTTGGTTCTTATTTGTGCCCTGACCGGGGATTGAACACACAACCTTGATATATCGGGAAGGCGCTCAATCAACTGAGCTACCTGGTCAGGGCCAATTCATTTTTACGATTCATTAACAAACTGTAATTTAGAATCAGCAACAAATTACCATGTTTGTAACCCATTTTAAAATTAAATCAATAGTGGGTGAACAATACTGGTTTAAACTGTCCCCTAAAAACAAATAAACTGTTCCCTGATATTGAATGACTAAACTGTTGTGTATTTCATTACTAAAACTTTCTTGGGAATTGTTTTCAACAGGAACTTTGTCTGTTTGTGAAAACATCCGCATGGCCCAAAAGAACACTGATTGGCCCTGAAGGTGGGGGGAAAGGGGATGGGACAGCTGGGTAGCTGGAGGAGTAGGGCAGGAGGCAGACTAGTCACTGTATCTTGTGCACTTTGAACACGGCATGTGATGTATTGTCAGGAGACTGATAGCAAAGAGGACAAGTCACACAGCTGAACGCGCTGGCCCCGGCATACCTGGCCTCCCGCAGCTCTTGGCGGCACTGGGAGAGACGCTCTCTGACACGACGCTTCTCTTCCTCTAGCACCTTCCTCCTGTCAGAGCCCCGGAGGTTGGCAAGGATCATGGCATCACAGAGCAGTGCGTCCTTCACTTCCCGATCCAGGCGTGAGTCAGTGGTGAAGCTTGGAGAGTGGTTCACCTGCCAGGAGGAGTTGTTATCCACCCCCTTCCCAGACCGCCTGCACAGGCGGTGGTCCCTGGCGGGCCCTGCTAGCGCGTCTAGGAGAGATGTCCCCCTCTGGTGGCCTCAGCCAGGGCCACAGGACCCTGCCACAGAGATCCCTCTATCACAGGCCGGTGAGAGCCACTCAGACCGCCTGCCCATGTAGATAGGACGCCCTTAAAGGAAAGGATGACACGAGAAACATTTGGGATCCAAAACCTGGATTCCCCTGGTGGAGGCCAGAGACCGCCGAGATCTGACTCAGGGGGCCCAAAGGGTAGGGATCTCATGCCTTCTGCAGTTCCTGCCCACCCCTGTGCCGCCGCGTCCCCCTTCTCTGGTCCACCACCTGAGTGTACTCCAGTCCTCGGTGTCCTGTTCAAGGAGGCCTTTGGACCTTGGTTTTGCAAAGCCTAGGAGATAATCCTCACCTCCAGCAGCCAGGGCTTCAGCTTGTGGTCCAGCAAGATGTCAAAACCAAGGATCTCAAAACAGGCACAAGTACCTCCACTCAAATGTTGGGGAAAACAAGTTCGGTAGTTGTGGCGAAGGACAGCGTGGGCCGAGATGATGGTTTTGATGATGATGTCTTCAATGTCCCCCCACATCTCTCGGGGGTCGTAGCTGTGTTCCCGCAGCCAGGCATTGAGCGTCGACAGCTTCCTGTGAGGCCCAGTGCTCAGAGGAAGACGGGTTTCTCTGCCAGTGGGGCTGGGCTGCAGGCAGGAGGCTCCCTAACTCTTGCCTAACTCCATGCCTAGGTCCCTTGTGCTTTAAGGGGTGGCTACCAGCTTGGAGCAGGGTTTGCTATCAGGGTGGGATTCGGGCCACACTAGGTGGGTGGTCAGGAACAGGATGAGGGTCTGTAAAGGCAGAGTTTTCCTGAGCAGCCAGCCTCCCAAGAGCCAGTCTCAGTTTCTTTCATGGGCTGCTGAGACTGGGGCAGAGGAGCAGAGGAAGAAATCAGAGTAGGGAGTGAGTACCTCTTACTGCCCACGGCGTCATCCCGGACAAAATTGTTGTTGTGTTTGTTGATGGCGTAGTTGGTCAGATGCATGCAGACATCATCCTGGGGAGAGGGCGGTCAGCCTGTGGTCTCAGAGCCATGCGGCTCTCCGCGCCAGCCCCTCACTGCCTTTGGAGTACCCACCCCTCCCAGGACTGCTCATCTCCTGTCTCTCCTCTAGGGAGGACGGCTCCTGGGGAGGAACATGTGCTCAGGGGCTCACCAACTTCACTCCTTGTTGTGGGTGAAAAGCTAGCAGTACCACAAGCCTCTCTACCTGGTGTCTCCAAAAACCCCTTGGCGATTAGGGAAAGGAAAGTGTGCCACCCTGCCCCCAGGGTGCCCCAGGTCCCTTACTAGGTTGCTGTGGTTGGGCTCCACATAGGGCATGGTGGCAAAGCGGGCCAGGCCTTCCTCGTACATGAAGATCCGGAGCGGGTCGCAGGAGGTGAGCAGGACGTAGATTCGCATGTCGAACTTGAAGCCGTCGATGAGGAAGGGCTGAGAGTGCACAGACCCCCGGGGAGAGAGAATCACGCTGTGAAGTGCTCACTCTGTGTCACACATGGCCATGAGCGCTTTGAATACGTAACGACTCGTGTAACTTTCACAGTAGTCATACTACGTGGTTACTGTTACCATTCCCATTAACAAATGGGGAAACTGAGGCACAGAAAGGGTAAGATAGGTGCCCAAACCCAGTATATCTAAGAAGTGGAAAAACTTGGATGCAAACCCAGGCAGGCAAGCTCTGTACCAGGGCTCCATAGGGCCTCCAAGATGGG